CATTCAATCTTTCATCGCAACTACTTTCTTTGAAATTAACTTTTCTCGACTGGAGAACATTGATGTCAGAATCCGTTACCAAACCTATTCGTATTCTAGAAAGTATCTCGCGATATGTGTTGTCACATTTTTGTCGCATATTAATCAAGAGTTCATCGTAATCGAACAACCACCACAAATCAGATCCACCCATGGTACCTAAATACTTCTGAATCTCTGAACGAGACATTTTAACGAACGGAAATTGTTCTTTTACAGAGGGAAGCTGCAACAAGTCTCCAAACAGGAGAATGTGTTTTCTGCCAAAGAAACCGTCATCTGTATCTGTCGTGTCGAAAATTTCACATAATCGTAGATCGATAAACATCAATGTCATATTCGAAATCATGGATACCTCATCAATTATAAATAATTCGACATTCTTTAATTTCTCTCTCAAAGTTTTCAAAACCATATCTGACAATTGCGTATACTTTCCCGTAGATTCATGGGTGACGAGTAGTTGAAACATTCTATGGATCGTCAAACCATTGATATTGCATGCCGCGATACTCGTGGGAGTAGATGTGGTACTCACTTTTTTCAAGTTTATTCCGATCTAATGTTTAATCGTTTCAATAAGAAAACTTTTCCCTGTACCGCCCTTGTCACTTACATCCAGTCGTAGAATCTGATTTTTATTTTGCAAAACTTGGCACACTCTATCGAAGACTCTTTTCTGGTCTTCGTTCAATCGCGACATCATTTGCGATAAATTAATCGGGACATCAATCTCACCAAAATTGTTGTACCCTTGGGTGAAGGATACAGATAGGGGATTCGCCGAGGACCCAGGACGCACAAATAAACCACTCAATACAAAACAAAATAACACTTTAATAACTTTTAGTAACTCTTTCAATATTCTCAATTAACAATTAAATGTTATACTTAACATGTATTATTGCGATTTCGCGTCGGCCCGATTTAGGTTTATAAGATAAGTCCGCGTTCGCGTTGACTTTATTAATCGGTCGATTTATATTTTATTCGCGTGAGCTGTTGGCGTACGGGCGTTATCTCGAGTAACAGCTGATACTAGACTCTCCCTCTTTGCCAGTTTGTCACGGTTAATATACTTGCTCGAACTGCTGACTGGACTTGAACTTCGGTCCGCTGTTCGAACGGATTTCGGTTGCTCTCATTTTTAATGTGGTCATTGCTGACACTTGCAACCTGATTTCTAAATCTGACGGGCAATAGCTTCCGTCTTTCTGCAACTTGCGAAGAACAGCTTGCGTTATTTGCGTGCTGCTTCCGCAAGATTGTCTTTTCGCAATTGAACTAAAGTAGGCAATGAGTATGCTGACTTTTCGGTAGTCAGTGGTATTTAGTTCCATTGCGGAATAACCTAGTTTCCCAATTAATTTCTACATTTCTGTTGCTAAGTAGCCTTATTCCTATTTTAATAAATGGTTATAGCTGCGGCTATAACAAAATCTTCCAGATCTTTCATCGCGTCGTCAACTTCTATCGGATTGCAATCCAATTCATCGTCGTCGGATCTGTCTCTGTGTGCTTTCAGCTCATTTTCGCGCTTCGCAATTAATTCAGCTACATTCTCAAAAGCTTTCTGTATTTCTTCGAGCCTTTCGTGATATTTCATCGCCTTCGTCAAAGCAGACTCTGAATTCTTAGAGGCATCCATGTAAGTCTTGTATGCACCTTTGAGTTCACTCAAATCTCTCCACGGTTTAAATAAAAGAAGCAGCGAATAAAAGTATTTTCCGGGTTCAGTTTTTACATTAAATCGATAATTGTTAATTAAACAACACTTTTTCGTTTTTTTTTAAATAAACGATACAAGTTTTTAATATTCGACTTCGTCATTTTTTGGTATCTGTTTCGTAATTTTCCAAAATCTGGCAAAATCGTACAAATTCAACGATTCAAATTCCTTAGGTCTGTTCGGATAATTATCATCGATGAGCGACCTTTGACTATATAAGTATGGACCGCTAGTTGCCCCGTCCCACCACCCCTCTCGCTCATAAAGTTATGTATCCAACATGAAGTTGGCTCAAGCTCCGCTCCGTGTGGCAAACTGCGGGAAGTTTAAAAGGATATAAGAAGGATGTAAGAATTAGATGGGTCGTTATTAATAAATAAATACCAAAATAAAAACAATAATTAATGAATATAATTTTCATTGGCCTACAAAAATTATCATCTTATTGTTAGTATTGTTATGTCTTATGAATCTTTTATGTTGCATTTTAGTCTATATATTTCCTTCGTAAAAAAATTTAATATCTAGGTATGCTGTTATAATAAATTTGATAATATTATATTTATGATTTTCTAAAATCTCGAAATCTTTTACGTGTTCATCAAAATTTTTAAAAAGATTATTAAATGACAGATTTTGTAAAACGTCATTAACTATTTTATAGTAAACGTTTTTATTTTTTAGTTTCTCTTCCAATTTATATAAATTAAACATTTTTTCCGTGGTGGAAGTAGGTAATAACAAAAGTATCTGTTCTTGGATACCTCAACACCCATAACTCTTACGGCTAATAAATTCAGATGGAGCTTCATCGCATTCATTTAAAAGTATGTGACAAGTATTACATTTCAAAGTTTTAAACATTTTCTTTTCTACGAACCCGGATATATATAAAACTACATGATTTAGTGCACCTATCTGGTTCAATGGTATATCATTACAATTTATATCTTTAAACTCGGCAGTACTTACGCAGTCATTTTCTAATCGAGTAAAAGTTTTAGTTGATGATATGGTTAAAATACTTGTACCGTCAATCGGAAAGCAGTTAGTCTGAGCCGAAGACTGTACTTCATTATGATTCAATAATCTTGTGTATGCTGCTTGAAATTGAATGCAGTTAGGATTATTATTGTATCCTCCCATTGCCCTAATGCAAGAAAAAAATATTTCAAGATGATCCTACGATAACTTATAGGTCAAAATATATTTTAAATAACCTGTTTCTACGTATGCCTGGTACATTAATTTTAAACTTTCCATATTTATGATAAATCCAAGGAAACCGGTTTTTATTTTTGATTCAATAACTAGTTGTTCATTAACTTTTAAAGTAATGGTACTAAAATAATGGTTTGCTTCAGAAAAAAATTGAAATATTTTTAAGTATGTATCCCGCATTAAAGGTTTCTTATAGTTGTAAGAAAATAAATTTCTCGAATTAAAGCAATCGAATATGTTATTGGCCATTCTACAAAATCGGGCCGTTGCAGCGCATTCTACGAAATCAGGGTGTCCATCATTTTCAAGTTGTTCAAATGCTGTAGCACAACTTTCACTTAACGTTTGTACGGCTAATTTAACATTCATTTTATTTTTGTACCATTGTATATGTTTACAATTGAGCTTATTAGCTAAATGGAAGCCGCCATTCTCTTGCAGTTGAACGAATTTTTCAAAGTATTCAAAATTTATGACGCCTCCCTGCTTGTCGTACAATTTTTTTTTTGAAGCGATTGCATTTTTATTAATTTAAACATATGCGCACTATCAAAAAATATAAATACGTTATGCATGTCCACCGGATGCAAAAAAAAAGTTTTTTTATAAATATCGACATCTAAGTATTTGCACATGCTTATATTTGATGACAATCCATCAAAGGTTAATGCGATGACTTTCACTCCTGATGAAGCTACAAATTCAAGAACTTTCTTCGTAATTTCAGCACGTTCTTCTGCTGTTAATCCAGATACCAGAAAATAGGCTACAGGTATCTTCCATCGTTCGTTTATCCCAGTAAGTAAATATACCAGAGCTTCCTTCACCATGGGTAGACTCTCAGGATTCTCAATTAAACCTCCGTGGTCTACGTATCCGATGAAATGCTTTTTAGAGTTACTCCATTGCACTTGTTTACGTATAGCCATTTCATCCATAGTTAGGCAGGCAAATAATTGTTTTTCACATGCTTCTTCGCTTTTTCTCTTTAAAATATTTAATGATTGTTGCGAGAACCCAGGTGAACCATCGATATTGCTGTACCACGCGCGTATTGTGGAAGGGGCAGGTAACTTATTTTGGAAAACTTTTCGAATGTAATTGTACGGTTTCGGACTGTAGAAGTTAAGTGTAAGAGCAAACGATCGAAGCTGCGGTGAATATTCACTATTCGTCTTTCCTTTTTGTAATTCCTGAATAATCGTAGTCTCATCTGAAAGGGCCTGCGCATTTGAAATTATTTTGTTCATAAATAAAATACAACAAATAATGTAGAAAAATCTATATTCCGAATACAAATTTATAAAACGATTTCGTGTACACATCACTATTACGTAGGAAATACAAAATGTCACTTGGGAGATTTATTTTTCTACTACACTCTATATTTGGTATGTACTATATAATATTTATAGTTTTATAAGCGTGAAAGGAGACAAGAAAGGGCTACTAGGAATCCATGGTAATATAGTCAAAGGTTATAATCAACAAGTTTACAATAAAAAAACGATATAAATATGTACAATTCATGATATTAAAGTAGTTTGCAATAGAAATGGAAATACATGATTTTGTCAGCTGTAATCAATACTTTTACAATAGTATAATATTATGATTTCTTCCACCTACGATTCTAAAATATTTCAGCTTTCCATCAATCTTATAATATATGAAATTATATCTTACAACTATAATCGAAAAAGCTTTAATTTAAGAGAAATTCATTTCGTTTCTCAGTTTTTTCTGTTAACAAAAATTTTCATTGAATAGAAAATTTGGCATTGAAAAAAAAAGTTGAAATTTATGTAAAACCAAGAGATTCTCGTTATTTAAAATGTATATGTGTATATTTTTTTAAAATAACGATAATATAACGGTTTCACATGAGTTTTAACTTTTTTATTGATTAATTTTCCATTCGCAATGGACATTTTTATTAAGAATTTTTTTTCAACGATTCTACTCACTTGCATGATGTCACAGGAATTTTCAGAAAGTAAACGTTCCTTTCTTAGTTCAAGTAATAACTGACATAAAGATTCTATTTTTCTCTTCTGACGACTTTGTTGAGTTCTGCAACGTTTGATGATCTTATCCTTTTCCTTTTCCTTTCACTTTTGCTTCAACATTTTTATTATGCGTTTACTTGTTCTTGGTGTCATTGTTTGTAGATTATTGTCGTCAATATCACCAGGGTAGCGAACTAACTTCTTTTGAGTTTGCAATATGCATTCGTTTACATCTTTCTCAGAATTCGTCGTTTCATCGTTTAAATCGATAATATTCGTTGATGGTTCCGAGATTTTTGGGATCTTAGCACAACTTTCTATGGATATTTCCAAGCTGCAACATACAAGTTTAATTTTTCCGTATATCACGCAAACATTTTATTAATTTTTATAACATACAATAGATACGATGCAAATTATTACATATATACCTTTGATTTTGATTTTGAGCGCGTGGAAATATACTTGGCACAGAATTTGGTTTTAAACGATTAGAACATAATCCGATTTGTTCAAAGCAGTCCGAAGAAAAATGCAAATTGCAGATTCTGCTCGTTTTTGGCAACTGCGTAATTTCTTGATTGTTTGAAAACAAAGCCTTCGCCCACTTTTCACGCAATTCGTGACAGTTTGGAAATCTATACATATAAGAGAATGATTTAGTGCAGTAGGACAAAATAAGGAATGAAAGAATATATATTTTGAAAGTATATATATATACCTTATACTTATTTTTAATTCTAATTTCATGGAAAGCTTTATTACAACTATACTAATGCGTTATAGTGTATTTATATAATTTATGTATAATGTTTAGGTTAGAAAGTATAACTTTCACATACCCGCAAGCTGGAGTCACTTATATCTTCACTTTTCTTGCAATATTTTTTTGATTTACAACCTTCTATATAACAATATAGCACCATTTTTACAACTATTATTTTTTTAAAGATTCTACGATTTTACTGGAGGAAGGCGAGAAAGCTTAAATTCCTGCTTTGTTGCTCCTAACTGCCGCTTTGCCACACCGCGTCGCCACAGGTCTTGGCTACCAACGTGAAGTTGGCGTTAGCGGTCCATATGTATATAGTCAAAGTGAGCGACGGACAATAAATATTCGTAGATTCTTTATCGAGAGCTTTAATTTCATTGAATGTTTTAACTTTTCTGTTTCTTATTTCATTAACATCAATCCATGTGATAATGGTATCACTATCCGTACCATACAAGGTAATGACCCAGTAGTGTGTCTGCAGCTTCTAAAGCACCGCATTTTCTATTATTCAATGAACGCATTGCAAAATTCCACAATTTCGATGCCAACGGCTTATTGGAATCTATCATTGCAAAGTCTATATTGCATTTTTCCCACTTTGTCGTGTATTTTGTTAAATATGAGTTTAAAAACTCCGATTGTTCTCCAATAAATTGTATGTCCATATTTCCCTTCTAGGCTAATTTAATAGCCGGATTATAATGATTGATAAACCTTTCCGACTTCTTCCGAGGAAGATCGTACGATCTACTCTTACTGCGTAAAGTTTTTCTACCTACTATCGAAATAATGACGTCTCTCAAAACGAAATTTTCAGTAACTGGTCGAGGAAAATCGAATCGACACTTTCTGTAAATATTCGTTTCGATTTTTTTCGTATGCATACAATACGAGTTATGTTTATGATTCTGATCACTTATAACCGTTTCATACAACATTGGCGAAACGCTTTCGTCTGGAATTTCGCACGTCACGTATTTTCGAATAAACGCTACAACTTCCTCATTCGACGATTTTCCGAGTACTGGAGCATCTTTTATCTAAATTATACAGTGTACGTGCTGAATACCTATACTTTGATATTCCAGTCGCCAGAAATAGTGAATGACCTACCCTATTGGGTTATCGGACGAACAAATAATATCAATCATGACTTTAAATTTTATACACATGAATCTAGACGTATTTACTGGATCGTATGCGATTAGTTCGCTGATACCCAACTTCTCCTTATCGAGATTCATATCTTGTGAATACTCACCCAAATCGGACCATTTCCGTTCACTGGGACTCAAAGTTAAAAATCACGCCACCGGATCATAATTCAGAGTCATGCATTTTACATTATTGGACGGTTGTCGCCAAAATTGATCCGTATTTCTCAGTTTTGCAAAAATACTCATTAAATTCGATTCCAATTGATTGTCTTTCAATTCGTTCAAATACCTACCAGCAGTGTACCTTTCTCGTGGATTAGCAACCATCATCGTATAATACATTCCATTTTTCGATTGTCGGTAGTTAGCATCATTGAGAAGGAAGAACAAATACTGCAGATTCAACCTGAATCTACTGTGTTTTGACATCAACCGCACTCTGACAAACAAATATTCCGGCAATGCAAAGTTTCTATCTTCTCGTTGTCCATTGACACCCTCGGGATATAAATCAGGGAAACACATGACATCCAGACATTTATAATGATTATCCATTGGAGCATCTTCAATTTTCAACATTTGATAGAGCTTCAATGCAGATTCGTTACCGATTCTTTTCGCGTGCATTGGGTATATTGTATACTGATCATTAATACCCGAATCTGTAGTAATTTGCGTGAGGAAAGCTTTACGTTTTAAAACGGTTTCATTATTATTGTTATCTTTGTTGTGCTGTACAGTACATCTCGAGTGCGCCTCAACCACCTTCTCTATTTCATCATTGTCGCTTTTATCATGAACGATCCGATATTCCGTTTGTGGTAACTTATCATTTATTAGATCATCAGACGACGCTGGAAGACGGATTTCTGAGTAATGGGGATTATTGTCTTTCAACCATTGTAAAGCCTTATACACTTTATTAATATCCACCAAATTTTCCCAAGAACTTTAGACTTTTTTGGTATACCTCGAACTAGGATGTACAATTCGTGATTCAAATTGATAGGATCTTCCGGAGGACATATCTTATCGAAAGTTTCTTGTAAAGGCAGAGGCAAATGAAACGTTCTACCTTTTACTTTGCGAATCATTTGTCTGTGCGGCATATGTTTGTTAGAAACGGCACCCATCGTTTGCACTACTTGGAAGCTGCTCACTCTCTTGATTAACATTTTCTCGTAATCATTGAACTCCGACAAAACATCTAGTAATGGTTTAACGGCAAGATTATTCAAAACGCAAATTGAAAGCAACACGCCTTTGTGAAATTTACAAATGAATTCACTATCGCTATTGTATTCTTAGTCGCGTCAATGAATACATAAAAGAGGCAATCTTCGGAAGTCCTCGGCAACAGCACCGATTTTGATGATTTTTTTTTAATGTTTGTTTTTTTATAATGTTTAAAATCAGAAACGTTTCATAGGGGGGAAATAATTATTTAAACAATATTCATGCACTTTATGTACAAAAAATCAGTTTTGCGTGTTGTTTTTCCACAAAAAATTTTTATATATAAATTGTAATATATAAAACAGTTGTAAAAATTTTTATATATAAATTGTAATATAAAAAACAGTTGTAAAAATTTATTTTCCAGTAATAATATAATATTTTCATCCTAAAAATGCTTCATGTAGGTAGAGAATTATTTGCGTTACATGCATACTTTATGTTCTATTAGTTTTCGTTCCTACATATATAAATGTATACACTGAACAGAAGAGCACAATAGAAACGGACCTTTTTTTGTTTGGGTATTCTTACTTGCTAAAGGAACGCCAGACAATGTTGCCAGATGTACCGATTTCCCGCTTTTTCGACCGTTGGTGTGCGACACGTGTTATGTTTCTACAACTCAGGTCCCTCAGTATTCATCTGTTTTTTGGAGCAAACGCACGTTTCGTACAGTTTCCAGTATTTATTTGTGTATTTGTCAAAGTGTATTTGTCTGCGTAAATTATTTATAAAAACATTTCTTTCTTATGCAAGTGAACAGTGCACAGTAACATAATGCAGAAGGTAATTATTAGTAATTTATTCTTTTAAATTTATTAGTAAATTTTGTTTATAATTTAAAAAAATATTGTTAAATTTGTAGATCATTATGTACATTTATACATTGGTAGGCGTAATAGTTTTTCCTATATGTATTACGTCAATTAATAATTGTTTTACTTCTTATATATTATAGGAGGAAGAACAACATGATGCAGATTCCACTGAAAATGTATGTTATATCGGTCAGCACAGTGAAAATAAAAATACTCCAAGTACCTCAACTGCAATTCAGGAAAAATTGATTGAAGTGAATAGAGGATTACCCAAATTGAGGTCAGTTGCAACAAATTTGAAGAACAAGGAGCTTCTTAATTTTCTGCAGAGTGGAAAAAAAGTATTTGTTCATTCCAGTTGTCGGAAACGATTTACCGAGTATAAAAGTGTTTCAGCTGAAATGAAAAAACTGGAACAGTCTGAAAATTTATGTGTCAGTCCACCGAAATCGAAATTAAGAAGATCTTCAGATTCCTCTTTTGATTGGGATCATAATTGTTTTATTTGCACCAAATCATTAGTTAGCCAAAAAAAAGTTAAACAGTGTGACAAAATATCTGTTGTCACTTTATATAACACTAAAGAAAAAATACTTGATGTTATTAAAAACATAAGAGACGATTTTTCTCGATCTATTCTTTTAAGAATAAATTCTGTCAATGATTTAAGATCCGTAGGTGCAAAATACCATCGAATGTGTTTTGCACAAATTGTAAAACAGGAAAAAACACCGGAAAAAACAATTGATCCGCGAATCGTAAATGTTAATGACGCTATGGATCAAATAATAGATTATATTGAGAATAATCGTGATTGTCAGTTTTCTCTGAGCGAGTTGATTAATGTCGTACAGGATAATCCGCCTGCTCCTAAAACCATCAGACGTCGACTAGAGAAGTATTATGCAGAAGATCTTGTTGTGTCAAATTATCAAGGACTGTCGACTCTTTTGTTTCAAAAAGAAACATCATGACATTTTAAATAAATCTTTTGTTGAGTCAAATTTGGAGGCTGAGGATGAAAATAGTAGAAAAATTAAAGAGGTTGCAGATATAATCCGCACAGAGATCTGTAAAACAATATATATTAATGATAATTATCCTGCCAGTGATGAAATGTTCTCTCAGAAACAATTGATAGATGTAGTTCCTCCATCATTACAATTATTACTAAATGAGATTATCGCGAAAAATAAAAGAGGAAAGAATAATGATAATGTTCTTGACAAAAAGACAACGTCAATTGCACATGCAATTATGTCAGCTGTAAGACCACGCTCTTTTTTGTCACCCCTTCAAGTTGGATTGAAAAAATACAACCAAAGAAAAATTTTTAGGCAACAGCAAAAATAAAAATAGATTTATAAATCTTCTCTGCAAAAAAATGGCTGAAGATAATATTGAGTGGAATCAAGCAGAAAGTGATGCGGATCGTTTAATTGTACAATCAGCTCTAGACAGTTCCTTCCATAATGTAGTTGTTGTAGCAGAGGACATTGACGTGTTAGTGCTATTAATGGCTTTAGCACCTGACGATAAGGAAATGTTTTTTTTAAACCAGTCAAAAATAACATATTGCAACGAGTTTATTCGACAAAAACCATGTTAACGAAATATCAAAATATCACAAGAAACCATCTCTTCTTCATTCATGCATTCACTGGGTGTGATACCACTTCTGCTTTTTACAATAAAGGAAAGAATAGTTTTATTAAAACGTTTAATAATGATAACAAATTACGTGCAGCAGCTGAAACTTTC